AGAAAGAAAGAAAGAAAGAAAGAAAGAAAGAAAGAAAGAAAGAGACTGTGTTGCAAGCTTTGGAAGATCTTCATCAGACAAAGGGGTTAAAATCATACAGGAGAAAGAAAGAAAGAAAGAAAGAAAGAAAGAAAGAAAGAAAGAAAGAAAGAAAGAAAGAAAGTCGTAACCCTGCATTTGTTCCAGATGTTGTGGTTGTTGTCTTCAGTTCAGATGGCGTGGAAGCTTATTCATAATAGACTCCTTTGCTCCCAGAGGAAATGTCTCTCCCTCTGATCATCTCCCCAGACAGAAGAAAACTGGACTGGCCCTTAAGTCTTACATAAGATGCACCCACACTGTCAAAATAAAGCAGTTTGACACCACTTTAAGTGCTGCAGCTCCATCCTATGGAATCCTGGGATTGGCAGTTTTACAAAGTCTTGAGTCTTCTCTGACCAAGAGTGCTCATGTCTCAAAAAGCTACACATCCTGGGATTGTATGGATGGAGCCATGACAGTTAAAGTGGCGTTTTTACAGGGCAGGGGCACCCCGGAGAGGGCAGGTTGAGGGGCATATACAACTCTGGCCCCCAGCATCTTGCCAATGCTCTGTGCCAACCTGCCCCAGCAACTGCTGCCTGAGGTGAAGGCCTCAGTCTGCCTCAGGGCAGAGGCAAAAGACAACATGGTCAAGGGCTAAGCATCTGTTTTCTAAAGCCCAGGCTAATCCCTGAAACATTACAAATAAATAGGGATGCTTCTGGAGATACTTGGTGGGCCATTTACCTGAACATTGGAGAAGGAGTCTTCACATGTCAGAAACTCTTCCCAAAATGGGGGCTGTGGTATTCAAACAGACATGAGGCACTGTATCCCTTCCACCAGTAGTGTCACCAGGGTTGGCATCACCTGGCTGGCATCACCAGCGGCGTCACTAGGGTTAGCATTACCCTCATTGACCTCCTCCCATACCACACCATACAGAATCCTTAGTAATGTTTTTTTTTACTAATATTTCTTATAAATTGTAATTCCCATATGTTACTGAATGTAATGGTAGTAGCTGTAGACATAAACAACTAGCAAAATGAAAATTATACAGTCAGCCCTTCGTCTCCACGGTGGTTCTGTTCTGGACTCCCCCGCAGATGGCAAATTCTGCAGGATCTCAAGTACCATTCTTCTCAATGGCGGCATGACATGTGTGCAACTGCTGCCATTGAGGAAAACAGCATGGGTCCATCTGAGGATGGTCCAATCCATGAATGACAAGCCCACAGATAGAACGAGCTGACTGTACCTTTCAATAACAACATCACATGCACTGCCTAAATGTATTTATATGTACATAGCTTCATGTGGTTAAAGTGAAAATTTGGTTAGATGTAAAGTTTTTAAAGAAAATTTAAAAGGATTTAAAAAAAAAGATTTTAAAAAATTAAAAATATATTTTTAAATTTATATATATTTTAAAAAAAACTTGGGGCCTTTCCTATCTTTTCCCACTGAGCCTTGCCCCACTCATACCATCTCTTCAGCATTTTAAAGGGATGCAGGTGACTGCCACAGCCCACTTCTGTCAAAAGGCAGATGTTTGGGAAGAAGTGATATCATTCCTCTTACAATGTCACCTGATGTGCCCCACACCCCTTGTGACCCCCTAATGATGCTCCTGCCTTTCTGTGGAATTCAAAGGCTTGGAAAAGAGATTATTCTTAAAAATTACATTCATTATAACAATGAAAGTTCAGTTTGTGGGCATCCGCACTATGCCATTTGATACCACTTCAACTATCTTGGCTCCTTCCTTCCTATAGAATCCTGTGATTTGTAGTTTCATGACATAATGAGAATTCTCTGACAAAGAGCTCTAATGCTGTATTTCAGGGGAGGGCACTAGCAAACTAAGGACCTTATCCCACGCTGCTCTCAAAAGTGGCAAGAAAGTGATATGAGCATCATTGCAGTACTATAGCGCTAGTATAAATATGGCGCTAGCGCTATAATAGCGCTATGGATAAGCTTGCACTATTGTAATGCCCGCTGAAACCGACATTCAAAAGAATGCGATTGATGTTGCATTCCAAGCGGTTTCTTGCTGGATTCTGAGCGACGTCGTGTAATCACACGGAAAACTATAGCGCTATAGTGCCTGATTCTTAGCGGATTCTGAGCGACGTCGTGTAATCACACGGAACACTATAGCGCTATAGCGCCTGATTCTTAGTGGGTTCTTGCTGCTTTTGGCCCCGTGGGATAAGGTCCTAAGAAACTCACCAAATTACAAGTCCCAGGATTCCACAGGATACAATCAGTGGTATCAGACTGTTATAATTGTGCAATGTGGATATATCCAGTAGTAAATGTCTTATCATTGCTGTTATAGAGATCATTATTGTTCTTTTAAAGCCCCAGATGAATTTAGAACACTCCATGTGCTAGCTAGGAGCTGCATATAGATCAAGCAAATATATTAATCTAGTTGCCCTATGAAAAATTCTATAAAATTCTGATTTCTGCCCTATGCAATGCTGGAACTGGAACTGGTAGACCGCAACCAGGAGAGAAAGGAGAAGTTACATGTAGGATGCACTTTGATGATTCTTCCTATCCTGGCAACATTTTTTATAAGGAAACACAGTCATGGAAGGCCAAAATCAGGAGAAGACAGTCAAGATACAGTAACCTTACTTTTCTCTATATCTTTTCCCTACCTTGTGAGTTTCTCATAGATGCTTGGTTCATTACTGTTATGCAATGAGTGATGGACTAGGTAGACCTTTAGTTTGATCCAACAGAGCTGTTGTTCATATGAGAAGGTGGCAATTCTGAGCAGAATTGCTGTTGATGTGGCTGAAAATTGGTGTTTCAATTGGAAATGGCCATGAATTGTGCCCCAGTGCTCAAAGCCTCTGCTGCTCTAAAAACCCTCACTGGTTGCTCTCCAGCTGTGGCAAGATTACTGAGCTTTGGAGAGCTGTACCAACCACTTTTCTGCTACAGTAATGCCATCGCAGAGAAACAGTCAGCAGAGTTGGCCGCCAGTCCCTAGATGTCAGGCTCTGAGTGTTCCTCAGAGCTAAGCTTTGCAGGCATTGTGTTCTTGACGTCCACCTTTTCAAAAGCCGCATAGGCACTTTTCCAAGACACTCTACCTACCATACCTAACTCTGAGGAAGGAGTTCATCCTGGGCACTTATCTAGGAAGGAATAAAACAAAAAACTGGAAGCACGTATTCACAGTGGAAGAATGAATGGAAACAAAGTCCTATGCGCTATACAATGGTCAAATACATTTGTTTCCTAAAAAGCCCAACATGTTTTGACCCTATCACCCACTGGCCTTCTTCAGGGGCAATTCTATAGATATGGGCCTTTGTGTATTAGAGGGAAAGATGTGATGGGCTTTTTAAGAAAGAAAAGTTTTTGACCATCGTATAGTCCACAGGACTTTGTCTCCTTTCATTATTCCACAGTTGTTTGGGAAGCAACACAGGCCACTTTGTGTGCCTTTCACTGCCTTTCTACAGAGCTTATCTGCCCAGTCTTCACTCTTTCAGACTACAACAGAGGGTTTACAGAGGCAATGGGGGGACAATGGGGGACAATGACGGAGCTGGGCTGGCACTTGAGCTGCCACAGGTTTTAAGGTGCTGGCTAAACCCTCAGGGAATTAATTCCCCCCCCCCGCCCTTTCACACTACCCAATTATACTGCTATGATTCCACTTGAACTGCCAAGGTTTCATCTTACAGAATCCTGGGAGTATTAGGAAGGCATAATTAAAATCTTCAGCAAGAGAGCTCTAGTGCCTCACCAAAATACAAACCCAGGATTCCATATGATGCATCCATGGCTGTTAAAGTGGAATTGCAATGTATTTTATTTTATTTTATTATATTATATTGCAGGCCAGTGTGGTGTAGTGGTTTGAGCATTGGACTACAAATCCAGAGATGAGGGTTTGATTCCCCACTTGGCCATAGAAATCCACAGGGTCACCATAGGTGATTCACATACTCCAAGACACAGAAAAACTCATGGTTGGGTCACCATAAGTTCGAAATGACCTGAAGGCACACAACAACAGCAAAACTATATTTATTATTATGTTTATTTGTATCTCACTTTCCCTCTAAAATTAGCACTCAACTTGTCTCACAATTTAAAAGAACAATACTATTAAAAACATACAAAAAGCGAACATTAAAATATAATTAAACTATTTACAGTATTAAAATAAAGTCACTCTCAAGTTAAAAGAATACAATGCAATTTTAAAAAGATAAAAAGCTCTTTAAAACAGTTCATTTAAAATAGTACAGCCCCTCCTAGCTACTAACCATGCAGGTTATCTGGTGGGAAAACAAAGCTCAAGGTGAAAAGTACTGAATTCGGAGAAAGTTTTAAATTTTTTGGGTGAAGTATATTTAAAAGCCTGAGTACCTATCTTTATTCATTCATGGCAGCTTGAAAAAAATCAATGCAATAAAACATTTACAACTCTATTTAAAAAAAGAAAAGAAATGTGGTGGAGTCTCCTTCCTTGGAGGTCTTTAAGCAGAGGCTGGATGGCCATCTGTTGGGGATGCTTTGGTTGGGAGTTCCTGCATGGCAGGGGGTTGGAGTGGATGGCCCTTGTGGTCTCTTCCAACTCTATGTTTCTATGATTCTATGAAGATTAAAAAAATCCTATCCATTTTTCCTCCACTCCTCCCACCTTTCCATTCCTGTTTTGACTTTGCAAGGGAAGGAAATTGCTATATGCAGCTGGGAAAATCATCTTTCTTACCTACCTTCTGAGAGGGAATGAGTAAGGATGGAGAGAAAAAAACACACATAGGAAGAATGAAGGAGATGAAAATCTTCATTCAAAAATATAACATAAATATAAATTAAAAGTCAAACCTATCTCCCCATCAAAAAAATGCTGTACAATAAAAAAAAAATCAGAATTGCTTAAATATTAAACCTAATTTCACAGGGGCCACACACGCCGCCAGGAGTAGTGCAGGCACCATTTTGGAACACGCGCACATGGCGGCAACAGCACCAGCAGGACCGGCCATGGACCGGTTGAAAGGCCTCGAGGGGCCAGGTTCAGCCCCCGGGGCCGTAGTTTGCCAACCTCTGCTCTACAGGACCACAAAACTGAAAAGGTTGTTCCTCACAGTATGATTTAACAAAGGCTTAACTGTTTTTATGTTTTGTTTTTATGGTGGAGTCATAAAAACTGGGCTGACATTCCCCTTTCTGCCAAGAAAGGTATCTGTTTTATTTTGTTATCTGTTTATAAGATTATGTGGGTTGTACAGTTCTTTAAAAATGGCTTGCTTAAGTTTTAGTTGTTTCTTACTGGTTCAATTCTTGCAACCTGCCTGGCTCCCTGGGGAAAAGCAAACTTTCTGTAGAAGCCAGAGTTACAGTGCTTGGCTGATTTTACCATTAGCTATTACTTTCTTCTTATTGCTAGTAAAATGGAGCCAACCATCCTAACAAAAAATACATTCTCCTGGGGTTATCTACTCTAGGAATTTGTTTCAGAAGCATGAACTGCCTCAGGCAGAAGATGCTAGAAAAAAGGTTGTGTGTCCCCTAAGCTAGTTTCCTGTTCTTTGTAAGAGCAGAGCTTGGGAGTGAAAAGTAATTCTGTTATTCATTACAGTGTTTCAAATGTAACCAATTCTGTTGCTTGTTACAATGCTGAAAACAATTAATCTGCCACTGATCTTACCAATAACAGTATCACTTGTAAGTCACTACTTCCAAGCTCTAAGTAGGACATTGTACTATCACCAATGTCAAAGTAAGAAATCCAACTTTCTGTATATGGCAGGGGTAGGCAATCTTTCCCCTTTAAGGGCTGAAGGACTTCAGCTCCCAGAAGCCTCAGCCATGTTGGCCAATAGTCCCATGTTGACCAATAGCTCCTGGGATTCTGGAAGCTGAAATCCCTCAGCTCTTAAAGGGGAAAGGTTGCCTACCCCTGGTATACGGAATAAGGTGGAGGGCATCTTGTCCTTTGCCTTGGGGAGCAAATGCTTTGCAGCAGTATCACACTGGCCACCGCATGGCTATTGAAAACATATGAGCAGCTCAGGAAGCAATATGATCCTGTTTCTCCCCAGCCATCTGTTCTTCAGCGGTAAAATGTCCCTGGATGTGGAAGTTGGATTTAGTAGTTTAAACACACATACATACCTCTAAACCAGATTTTATGAGCCCATGGATAGAGCCCAGTCCCATTTCTGCAAGAAGTGCCTTCCACTGAAAGAATGCACATTGGTTGCACACTGGTCCGCATCACAGATAGTTTGCACTGAGATAATGTTTTAACTTCAGACGTTGATAGTAAAGCCCCTGTCTTAAACTGCAGGTCACCTTTTGGCACTGGCAGTGGTGAAAGTGGAATAAATGTCTTGTGGGAACTGTTGAAATTGAAGTTGACTGCTGTGAAACTCAAGCAGGCATGGAGAACCTCAGGCCTGCAGGCAGGATTGCAACTGGTGGAAGTTTCCCATTCATTCTGCAAGCTTCATTGTTTCTTATTGCTAATCATGGATAGGCTGTTTAAAGCCTGAGAACCCACTGCATGGAACTGAACTCTGGTTTGAGGTCTCCCAACCTATATGACAGAGATGTGTGTAAATTCATATGAACACTTCAATGGTCTATTCTTTAAAATCCATGTTAATTTGGCCATTTGTGCTACCTCAGCAAACGTAACAATCTATTTTTGCATTGTTGGTGCTTCAGTCCATTTCCAAGTTTGAGCAAACAGTATTCTTGCAGCTGTTGTCATATACTGAAGAAATGATCCACCCTTTTTCTAATAATGCATCACACACAATGTTAATGGTTAAATTAGCTCATCTTCAAATTCTTATAATATGCTGCATATTATATGGGTCCATCTGGGCCTGCAGCTTTTCCACATGTTAATCTTTTTAATTGCTTCAATAGGTTCCATAGTTGTTATAGGCCCATTAAGGACGTGTTTTTGTTCCAAGCATAATTTGTCCAATTGGATTTTATCCAAGTAATTTTTAATATCTGAATTTTTCTCATTGCCCCTCACATATAAGTCTTTGTAATATTCCTTAAAGGATTTTAATATTTTCAATTATCCATTACAAATTGATCTTCCTTTCTGATCGTTGTGGCATTTTTATTTATCCTTTCATGTTTATTTATAGGAAAGCCACTTCAAAGGTTTATTTGTGAATTCAAAGTTATTTTGCTCAAGACAGAATAGTTTAGCATTTGTTTCTTGGACTGTAAATGATGAAAACTGCTGTTGGCATAACTTAATTTTGTTGAGTCTCTTTATCCATTTCTGGGCAACATCTGAACTGAGTCAGGAACATTAACCATTGCATATTAAGTTGCAAGTTGACTTGTCCTGATCTTTGTGGCTAAAAAAGCCAGAAACAAGATGAACTTAAAACACTTCACCAAGTAGCAGCGTAGTATCTAAACAACAATTATCTGAAAGTGCATGAATTAATTTAAATTAATTCAATTATTAAAGCTCTTTCCCCTCTCACTGGCATGCTCTTAAGCAACTAATGATTTACTGTTGTTGTTTTTTCATGACACTCAAAACCAGCTTCCTCAGGTAGCCACATCGTTCTTCTTAATGTAGGGCTGATACTCAAATGCCTGATGTCAGAAAATTCCTACCCTTAATAATTTCCCAGACACATTTTCCATACACCAACACGTTTTCTAACTTCTACACCTTATGTAGACACCCATTTCTTTGAATATTGAGCTACTGCTGCTGATGGTTCAGAACTGATAGCTTTAAAATATGGTTGCCTGGAATGTATCTCTAGAGCAAACATGGTCATACTTTGTTGTTAACTGCCCTTGAGTCAACCTTGATTCATGGTGATCTATGGATGAGACTTCTCCAAGACACTCTGTCCTCCCCCTCTCTGCTCAGGTTATGCAGGAGTGGTCCATGGCCTCTCTGATTGAGTCTAACCATCTGGCATGTGGTCTCCCTCTCTTTCTGCTGCCTTCTACCTTTCCTAGTATTATTGTCTTTTCCAATAATTCATGCCTTCTCATGATGTGGCCAAAGTATGACAACCCCAGTTGAGTCATCTTGGTTTTAGGCTCAATCTGTTTGAGAACCCATTTGTTTGTCTTCTTAGCCATTATCTGTATCCTTATCACCACATCCTCACCATACAGCTCTCACATCTTTACATGGTGATGAGGAATACAATGACTTGAATGATTCCCACTTTAGTGTTCAGTGTAATATCTTTGCTCTTTAGGATT